CTTTCCCGGTATTATCTTCTTCCACGGCGGAGCTAACAGTGTAGTCCAAGAACTGAAGCACACAACAAAGGAAGAACAAAACCTTGAAGAACCAGATTTGACGACAACACTTTTCTCTCATTTTATTTTCTTAAGAAAAATGAGATCTTATTTTGGGTGTTTATATTATGGAAGACAGACATATATACTGAAAAAGAAGTTGAATTGTATTTATTTGTTTTTGTTTACTTGACATTTAATGTAAAGTGTTTTTTTTTTTTTTTGTTAAGTCCTTTAATATAAAGTTTGTTAAATCCTTTAATGTAAAGTAATATATTAAAAATAAATAAATAAAAGGGGAACTAATTAAATGAAGTATATCTCTACCTGCACAACTTTAAACTTTTATAAAATTGTTGCTTTTAAGTTACATGAATCTCTTACTTACATGCAAAGGCTTTCACGGACTAAACTCTTTTTTTTGTTTTTGTTAAATGATATAACCAAATTAATGTGTGGCTACTAAACTCTTAATATTATTACTTCTTACCTATTAATTATTTCATAATATTTGGATTTATATTAATAAATAATTATTTCTGACCTATTACTTATTTTATAGTAAATTATTTAAATTTAAATTCTTTTATAATTTAATACTTAATAAATATATATATTTATCTTATTTATTTATGTGTGGGAACTAAACACTTATTCATTTATTTGTTTTAATCTTACCAAAATTAATGTGTGGCTACTAAACTGATCTTAATTTATCCATCAAAACTAAACTTTGTGTTTATGAATTATAAAAGTCATACAATTGTTTTGAAAGCCAAATCGGCATAGTAAAAGTTAAGCTGCATGGAATCGGAAGAAGGTACGCGGAAACAGAAACGTTTAGAAACAGGTAGAAGCAGGTGGAAGCGTCTTTTCCCAGAACCGTGTTTCCACTGTGATTCCTAACGATTTTGATTCCGTTCTCGCCTTTGAAGCGAGAATCGGGGCTCCGACGACGATTCCGTGCAAGTTAGAGTCTGTAAAACAATCAGAATAAAAAAACTAAAAGTAAGATACCCATGCTTAGTGAGAAGATGTGCTACACGATTACAATTTCTTTTAACAAAAACGAAATCAACATTTTGAAACCATGAGGCCCATAAAAGTATATCATGATAAATGCCATCAATCGAAATATCGCACAACTAGCCATTTAAGATATTTGTAAGTACTTCACAATCTCTTCAAAATAAACAGATGTGATTCCCCCTACTCCATGTATGTTGCTGCTAAACTCTTACAGGGGTTATTGGATCATTGATTTTGAGGATTTGGAAATCCAACAAAAATTATATGTTATTCAATCATTGATTTTAAAATAACTATCAAAATCATGTGTTATTGGTTGTATGATTTATAAATACTAGTTAAAATCCTATGTTATTCGTTTAGTGATTTGTTTTTAGATTTTAAAATCCGTAGTATGATTTAAATGGATTTGAAAGAATTTGATAGTGTAAAATAAAAGGATTCAAATCCAAAGATAAAATGTGTTATTTCAAAATCCATGTATTTTGATTTCATAAATAATAAGGATTCACAAATTCGATGTGGATTAACAAATCAATAAACCAATAACACCCAATATAACCAAAATTATCCAAAAATTGAATTTTACTATATTAATTGTGAAGTACACAAATAAAAATAACCTTATAAATTGTAAGAATTAATTTACACTGAAATGTCACTAGAAAAAGTTTTAAAAGAAAAGAAAAAACTGAGGGTAATAACAATAACTAAAAAATAAATAAACAAATTAAATATATAAAATCGCAAGATAATCTATAAACTATAAACAAAATCGCTAAATAATCAAAAATATATTTTTTTGTGTGGATATACAAACACAAATACATGATACATAAATATTCAGTTAAATAATAACAAAATAATTATTACAAATTTATATCAAACAAAGAGTTCAACCCACAGTTTATTGTGGCTTATTACCTATTAACATATTAAAAAGATGAAAAAATGTCTTGTATATTTTATATAATTTTGATTACCTTTTCTATGTAGTACTTTATTTTTAATTGAATAACTTACACATCTCTACGTGAGCAATACCGACGAACTTAGAATATGTACATTAGTTACATTATTCAACACCCATTCCTACCATTTTTTTTTTTATGTTTTTTTTTTGTTATTTGAATTGCCTTATAATAATCTTATAAAATTTTATAAATATCTTATAAAATCTTATAAACTTATATTTAAAATAACGTCTTCTTATATATGTTCATACAAAAATAGGGATACTTATTACTAAAATAAATAAAAAGACAAAAAAACTTAAAATTGATAATTTGGTAGGATATGTGTACCTAAATGGATAATTAGTAAAAATTTGGTGTTAGAAAACGGTTTCAGTCCAAATTAAATGAAACAATTCTGTATTTATAGATTATGAAAATAATAAGTTTTAGTATAAAACAATTAAAAATTAAAAGTTTACTATAAAATATTTAACATTTAATAGTTAAGAAGTAAAAAAATAAATTTAAATACACACGCGGCATTGTCTCTTTCCTTCCATATATGACTCATCATTATTCAACATGTTGGATCAATTCAATCTACCAAATAATTCACCTCACATTTAACACTTTTGTCAGTTGAATTAAAATATTCAACACCTTCATTGTAAATAGGGGAAAATACAAGTTTTAACCTTTAAAATATCACTGGGTAACACTTTAAACCTCGAGAAAATTTAAACTAAACAAACAAAATTTAACTATTTCATGTCCACGAATGACACTGTTATAACTATTTCATGTTGACTGGCAACACTTTTTTCTCATTAAATATGATAGCCCAAAAAAAAACTAATTTAAGGTTTAAAGTTTTAATAAAATTATTTTGATGGTTTATAGTGTAAATGAAATTCTCTAGAGGTTTAAAATGCAATTTTCCCTTGTAAATAGTATTAGGTTGTAATATTTTACGGACTAAACTCTTTTTTCTTTAGTTAAAGAACAGAAAAACTTATATATAATATAACCAAAATCAATGTGTGACTAAACTCTTAATATAACCAAAATTAACCAAAAAATGTATAACTAATTAAATAAAATTAAAAAATGTTCTCGTATATTTTAAATAATTTTGATTACAATACTTTCTTTCTATTTGAATAGGTTATATATCTACTAAAGCAATCATTGATAAACTTAGGTAGTAACGTGTGGGGGTGGCAGGTGCACAACCATGAGGAGACTTAGGTAGTGACTGCTTTGGTTTGTTATTTCTTTATCTATTTTTGACTCAAATATCTCTATATATGTATAAATCTTAACTTGAATTGAACAAAGTTATTGGAAAATTATGAACTATTTAGTCTAAGAGCTTTAGTAAACATTAGTAGCAATACATAGTGAAAAATATCACCTATATATTATATATTAGAAATACAAATATTTATTAAAAATGGATTTGTTTCTTTTTTTTAGTGGTTATCTCTTTTCATTTGGAATCTTCAATAGCTTAATATGAGCATATTAGGTGAACGAAAACAGAGTTGTTGATATTGACATTAGACTGGTTATAGATTTCAACTGTTCTAGTTTTTTGGAATACGACTACATTAAACAACTAAATGAGTTGTATTATCATTTACCAATAAATGTCATATTAAATGTCATTACATAAATAGTATATGAAACTTAAGATAAGATGTGTTTGTATTATTACGGCTTTAAAACGTACTTAAGAACAAAGAAAATTAAATAACCACATCATAGTTATTACTAATAGAATTCGGTTTCAAATCGAGTACAATATAAGATCCATACGATTTCTAGTCAATTTCGATTTGGTTTTAGTTTCTCTATTTTCGGTTTGGTTTATTGGCACCTTCCATTCGGTTTTTCCACCTCAAACTAGTTATTATGATTAATCTTTAAGGGAGAATAGGGTTTCCATGAGGCTATTTGAGAGATGCGACCAGTTGCTTAAGCGATGGACCAATTGGGTTTGCTCACAATTTTAGGAGAAAAACATAGTTTCTTTGAACACACTCTCTTTATTAAGAATAACTCTCTTAATTAATTATGTTTAGAAAATAACTCAAAACTAAACACAAAGCTCTCAATGTTCTCACATCTAATTGTCACAACTCAAAAATTATATTTTTAGTGCTAGCACAACTTTGTTAATGTGGAAACAGGATTCACACAAAGGGATTTAACCGTGGTTTGGATAAATCCGATTGAAAGATGATCAGGTTTACAAGATCTAGAAGATATAGAACCTTGGAGATGAAGAACTAGGGTTTCGATTAGGGTTTATTAGAAAGAGAGAAATTGGTGGATATGAGAGAATTGTGTCTTTTCTGTATTAATGTTTCGATCCAGCAAAATAAGGGACAAACCCCCTATTTATATGAATTACAAGATATTATTTCCTAATATTATTAGGAAATCTAAACTTATTCTGATTAGAAACTTGCTTTTCACGCTTCGTCGGCGATCTATTGGGTCGCGGCCCAACGGCCCATATTCGAATGGAGATCTGGCCGGTATAATCGTCCGGTTCTTATCCGGTTAAATGTGGTTATGTCGTTGGTACCAAACCATGTACCAACAATAAGTCCCCCCCAGTCTTTGAATTCGAATGTTTATTCGATTTCAAAACTTTGAAAAGGGTATCTACATTTATCCCGGACTAGCATCGAATGGTTATATTTAGCGGAATGTCGTTGATCTCGACACGTGGAGATTTCCTGTGGTGCAGCACGTCAGGTCGGAACAAAGCGGCGCCTAGGTCATCATTGCTCTTCATAGGGTTTGTCGCCTATCTCTTTCGGCTATATATACCAGACTGCTGTCTTCGACTTCTCTCATTTACTTCCATCCTGTTGACAAGGTAATCTTGCTCCGCTCCTCCTCCTTCTTTGTTATTTATTCACTTGTATCGCATTTTTTTCTTCGTTCCATACTCTTCTGCCCAAGATGCCGCCGAGGAGAGAGATTCGGATTCCATCGGTGAGAAGGCTAGCCGATGAGGCAGAAACGTCGGGGAACCGGGGGCATCCGTCATCTGGTACAACAGGTCACGTCAATCGCTGCAACTCTGGAAACGCTCCTAGGTCAAGCGACTTAACCGCTGGACCGTCGAGCAGATCGTCAAGATCCATAAACAGGTCGCCTGTTGCAGGAGATGGATTCGTTCCTCTCAATATCTTTGAGGAGGACATCAGTTCCATTCTTGACTTTAACGGGCGAATTGGAGGGGATCCAACAAGGAGTGATGAAGCCACGGTGAGAGCAACGCTGAATGTATGCGGTCAGGCAAATAAGGGGGTGACGTACATAATCCCGCGTCCAAACCAGCGCCCATGGAATCTGCCTAAGGGGTACATATGCATGTACGAGGCGTACTTTAGAGACTGTCACCTCTGCTTTCCGATCTCGTCACTGCTGAGCTTGTATGCTCATCGCCGAAACTTGGCGATCTGTCAGCTTACGCCAGCTGGGGTGTGTAACTTCACTGGCATTCTGACGATAGCTGCTGAAGTCGGATGCCGTGTTGGAGTATGTCTTTTTAAGGTTATGACTACCTTGAAGCAATCAAAGGTGGCCGGAACATGGGTAGTGAACATGGCCCCGAGACATAATATTCTTCCAGGGAAGAAAACAAGTACTTTCATGACTGGGGGGAGAAGTATTTCTACGTCCGGGTCGACAATTATTCAATGGAGAGCCCGATGACTGGGCGTAGGAGATAATGGAACGAAAAACCTGGTAGGTTGTGTTTTACGTGTTTTGGAAAATTACGTTAGGACTGACCTGACCTTTCCTTCCATTATTTCAGCTCGTCCCGTAGCCTACGGACCCTTGACCGCAGAAATTCAAGCTGTGAAAAACGCTCTTTTGAGGGGTCCAAATCGCGAGTGGAAATACTTATCCCGACAGAGAGTAGAGAGAGCAATGGAGCAAGGAAGAAGACTTTTTCCGAACATCGCCGACGTCCTGCGCGAGTTCAGCCAGGATTCGCAGGTCGCCTCAGAGGCTGACCAGGAGGGAACTGAGACATTGCCGATCTCAGTTCCAATTGCTCCTGAAATGGAGGATGTACCTGACGGAGGGTAACCATGACGAGGTCAACATCCCTGATGAGACCGCGGCACCTGCCCTAGTCGAAGAATCCGCTCTTGGCGATGAGACGAGGGCTGCTGAGATTGTTCCTGCAGGGGCGCAACAGGAGGGGAGGAAGAAGAAGAAGAAAGATAAGGGGAAGGGATTGCCTGCCTCAGAAGGCGATCAGAGCCGTAAGAGGTCGGCGTCTGATGCCGGTCTTGACTTCGTCGACCAGTCAGTCGAGCCTTTCCGAGCGGTTTGGAGGAACGAGAAGACTGACAAGTTCACCTTCGACTACTTCGGCGAAGGTCCTCTTTCAATGAATTCGCTGGCGTCGGCTCATTTGTGCCGAAACATCAAGATTTCTTCCAAGGTCCTGCCTCCGCCGGAAGAGATGCTTTTTAAGGAAGACTACATGAGGATGACCCAAGGTAGTCGCATGTGTTTGTCTATTCGTCTTGTTTTAGCTATGGGCCAAAACATTTACCGAACGTTCGACCTTTACGCAGATGGTCGCCAATCCTAACACCATGCTCTTCAAATACCACGTTTGGGATGAGAGTCATGCAACGTCGGAGCAAGTTTTCGCTAAAATGAAAAATTGCTATGAAGACGGTAGGGCGAAGATTAAGGACTTGGCAGCGAAAGTAGCTTCCTTGGAGAAGGATCTCGAAGTGGAGAAGAAAAATGCGGCAGATCTGATGGTAGTGGCTGCGTCCGCTGAGGAGGATAGGAAGAAGGCGCAGAGCGATCTGGATGACGTCTGTAACAAGCTTGCGTCCGAAACGAGACGGTTTCGGAAGGATCGCTGGGAGAAGGTCGAGAGGACCAGGATCAAGGCGCAAGGTCGTCTGGATCGAGTCAGAGCCTATCTGACCGAACAGGGGGAGAGAGCTCGCCCTCATGAGGACAAAATCAACCAATCCATTGGTATTGATGAGATGGCTAAGGATTTGGTGAAAGAGGGAATTGTCATTCCGGAGAAGAAGATGGCGGAAATTGCTGGCTTGAGTAGGTATCTACAGGGACTTTACGACAAGATGTCGTCCCTTAAAGCTTCGGATCTCGAACTGCAGTGTCGTCGGATCAGCTTGGCTATGGCCTCCCGAAGGATGACAATCCGCCAGAATCGGTTCGGGATCCGCATGGGTCGAATGCCTCTCTTTTTCGGGCCGATCTGTCTTCGGCATAGGACGACCTAGAGACCAACCTGGAGACTGCCTCTTAAATCTGATTCCTCTTCCTTTCTTTCCTTCCTTTTATTTTTTGGCTATGAACTTGTATTTGGGCCTCGGCCTTGTTGTAATATTTGGACGGGTTCCTCTCTTTTTAATTTGATGCTGTTTTGATCTATCCGATTTTGGATTTTGTTTATTTGCATGATAGACGGTTTCTATTGCTTTTTGGAAAACATCAGTCTGTTTCGCCTATAAATACACCTTCTGAGGTCTTTTCTTGCTCATCGGAAATCCTATCAGTGTTGAATCATGGCGAATCCAACTCTTTCACCCTCAAATTCCTGTATCTCGGGTAATGCTGGTATCGATGTTCCAACATTTTCTGATGCAGAGGCGATCGAGAGAGGAATGCATTTTTACCCGAGTATTAGGGTTCCGAGAACTCTTATGTTCCAGGTTTCGAAACGTGAGAGGGATCACCTAGAGAGATTCTTTTCTTCGATTTACGACTGCCATCGCCACTACGAAGCGAGTTTACGACGGATCGAAGCGATGAGATCCAACGTTTTGCACAAGATTGATCTTTTGGAGTCGCATCCGAGAGAATGGGTCGCGAAAAGTTCTATAGGATTTCGGCTATGCCTATGTGTTTGGTTGACTACTGCGACGATCTGGCAAGGGATGGAGTCTCAGGATTGCGGAATGGTAGGGTCCCGGGGATTTTCGAATGTCATGTTTTCGTTCCGGGTTCGGTAAAGCCATTCTTTCTTCGTCCTTCCGCCAGTGATGACGAAGTCGAAGCTGCCAGTCGTTCGCGGATGAGGTATACATGTAATTTAGAGTTTGTCTTGTCCTCTTTTTGAAAAGTTTGGTTTATCTTGACAGATCGTCCTTTCATTTTTCGTGGTTTATGTAGATCGGGGCTTTGCACTGGGGTGAGTGTCGAGATCTACAGTACTACCGGTTGAAAAGGAGGAGGATTGATGCTCGTCTTGACGAACTGCGAATCGAGACTGAAGAGCTGCGATTGAAGCGCAGGAAAACGATGTCGCTTTTGGACGAAATCGAGCAGAGGACGAGGGCGCTTGAGACTAGCCCGGAGGATTGGGAGCGTACTGGGATGCAGCTGCTTTTGCCGATGCCAGATCGCCTTAGAGAAGATACGAGAGAAATTGCTCGTAGTAGGCTTTTAATTTGATGATTTGTATTTTTCCGGTTACGCTGGGATGATAGTGTTATTTTGTGCCTTCTTGGCGAACTATGCTTGTAAGATCATGTATGTAGGCGATTTGTGCCCGTTATTCATTTTTTTTTTTTTTTATGAGGATGTGAGTTCGGTTTATTCGGATTTGTATGAGTTGCGGGACGTCTCCCGGCCTATGTATCATAATCGAACGAACGTAATAATTGGTTAGGAGGTGACTCTGGGCTCCGTAAATAGAGTTGTTCAACTCCTAGCAGTAGTGTGCATAGGCAGGGTACGAGAACATACTCTGGGCTCGGTTTATCCCCTTGATTTATTCCGGACGACCTGCGAAATAGTCTCTGGGTTTGGCTAATTAGTTGCTGTGGAATAAACTTTAAGAGTGGACTTGATCGCTAGATCCTCTGGGTCCGGCTTTGTTCTGTTTTAATTGTTTTTATTAAAATATGATTATGATGGATTTATCAAAAGGAGACGATCATCTGGCCAGGATGTCGTGGATGTTTTGATATCTAGGGTTGGATTTATGCGTGTGTAAGTACACCTACTGCTCACCCCTTTAGATATATATACATGTGTATTTGTGTATATATATATATAGTTGTATATATATTATTTTTATTTATATACATATATATATATATATATATTTTTTTGATTGGACGTGACCTTCTTGGGAAGGTGCGTATTTTACGGTAAACAGAGCCGTTACGTTTCCCAAGGGAAAGTCGACTGTTGTGTCTGATGGGTCATTCAATGGCGCCTGATGGGTCATTCAATGACACCCCCCTTTTTATATTTTGGGGAATTGAATTGCACCCTTCGGGGTAGTATAAATACCCCTGCAAGGAGGGCATTTGTCATTCATTATCATCGTTTTCAAGTTGACAATAAAGAGAGAAAATGTCGGCTTACTACCGAGTAAAGCAATTAAGGCTAGATGATCGAAGAATCGATCGTTACAAAGACTGGGCGGTCCGTTTGAGCATGCACATACGGGGTGCGTTGGAGCTGATTGAGCCCGAACGGGAGCTCAATGAATACCTAGGGGTCGCTGATTTTGCGTATAAGTATCCGAAAGGGGATTTGTATGTTCTGTATTTAAGGCATGAAAGGTTGCCTAGTCTTGAAGACCGTCTTCGGCGGGCGATTGCGCGAGTGAACGTTCATTCGTTGGGTGGTGATGATCTTAACCCTTTGGACGACTTGGGTTTAGTTAGTCTAGAGCGCCGGGGAGAGATAGAGGCCCTTCGGGCAAGGATAGCTTGTCTCTCCGACTATCTATGGGCGTTTTACCGAGTAAAGGAAGTTCGGCGCCAAAAGTCGCAGGCAGAAGGGGCGGAGGCCTTTTTGCTGAGGATGGTGAGGGAAGGGGAACAAGTTCCGCAGAAGGCTCTTAGTACCGCCACGGACGCTCGCGCACACTGGGTGGTGGAAGAGACGAGGGCATGGTTGCCTCGACTGGAGGACGGCGATTTAGATCTTCTTCCAAGGATCGTTATGGATGATCCCTAAGGATGGGGGTCCCTGATTGTAGGCGACTTCCTTCCCATTATGGTTTTTGTTTTTGTTTTTTTTTTCTTTTTTTTTTTACATATGGCCGATGGCGTTTGTGCAATCGGTTCATAGAACGGTCGTTGTATCGAAGGTAGTATAGGATACCTAACGTAATTTCATGTAGATCTGTTATGAATGTCGATGGTACGTCGCAACGTTATGTTATAACAATGGGATTCCCCTTTTATTCCTTTGCCTTTTTGTTTTATTTAAGAATAACAGCTACACCAAATAATTGGTTGCCTACGTACCCTTTCGAGGATCAAGCCGATCGTAGTTCACGTTTACATGTTTTATAGTCGAATTTCCGACTTAGTAGTAATACTTTTTTAAATGGGAGGCGTTCCAAGCGTTCGGGATTTGTTTTCCTTCGAGACAATGTGTGGCCCTTCCCAATGTGCTCCGAGTTTTCCGGCGTTAACCTCTTTAGTGTTTTCGAAAAATTCACGCAGTACGAGATCGCCTTCGTTAAACCGTCTTTCGCGAACTGATCTGTTGTAGAATGTTGCGGTCGCATTTTGATAATTTTGAATCCGTATTAGGACTTGATCTCGTAGTTCTTCGGCAAAGTCGAGTTGATCGTGGAGCATTTGGTCGTTTAATTCTGGATGCTGGATCATCATCGTTCGGCGGAGTGTGGGGCAACCTGCCTCAGATGGAGCCATCGCTTCTACTCCGTATGCGAGAACAAACGGGGAAATGCCGGTAGCTCGCCTTGGGGTTGTTCTATAAGACCATAGGACGCCATCCAACTGATCGGCCCAGAGACCCTTTTGATACCATCAAGGATAGTTTTGTTGGATGCCTCGGCTTGGCCGTTTCCTTGAGGATATCGGGGTGTTAAGGTGCTCAGCCGTATTCCACACTTAGCCAGGAAATGCCTGATGGCTGTGGATGTGAATTGGGATCCATTATCCGTGTGGATCTCGTAAGGCAGTCCGTGTCGGCAGATGACGTTTTTCCAGATAAAATTGGTTACGTCGATGGATTTTACTGTGAAAAAGGCATCGGCCTCGATCCACTTAGTGAAGAAATCGGTGAGGACGAGTTGGAAACGCTTTCCCCTTGATAAAGGGAGGGGTCCGACAAGGTCCATTGCCCATCTCATGAAGGGGTACGGGGCGGTGAGTGCGCTTAGTTGTTTGGGAGGAACATGTTTCATGGGTGCGTGTCGCTGGCATGGTTCACACTTGGCGGTAAAGAAAACACAGTCGGCAAGCATGGTGGGCCACTAGTGTCCGTCTTTTTTTATTTTCAATGCGAGAGATCGTCCGCCAGTGTGGTTTCCTCCTTCCCCTTGGTGGACCTTTTGCATTATTCGATCTGCTTCATCACGATCGACACAGGTTAGGAGGGTGTCGGCGGATGTGCGTCGGTATAATCTGCTGTTGTCAAGGACGTAGCGTGATGCTCGTGCTTTGAGGCGACGTGCTTGCCATCGATCATCAGGTAGTGTTCCATCGGAAATATAGAGTTTGATTGTTGTTTGCCAATCGGAATGGAGGGTTACTGAAGTTGGGTTGGCTGGATCGGTGTCGATCTCCATTGGCTCCGACTCGTCGAGTATGACTGAGACGGGGTTGATAAGGTCTATACTTGGCGAGTCGATTTTTTCGATGGGTATGGTTCAGCGAAGGACCGGGTCAGAACTTGACGCTAGGGCTGCGAGGGCGTCGGCCGTAGAGTTGTCGCTTCGCGGAATTTTTGACAAATTGAAAGTGGCGAACTCGCTAGCCAGTGTTCGAACCAAGCGTTGGTAGGCGATCATTCGATCGCTTTTAGCATCATACTCCCCGCTGAACTGGCTGACGACTAGTTGAGAATCGTAGTAGACCTGGACATCTTGGACGTTGATTCCTTTTGCCAGGCGAAGTCCGGCCAATAGTGCTTCGTATTTCGTCTCATTGTTTGATGCTTTAAATCCGAGTTTGAGACTTTGTTGGAGGATTTCGCCAGTTGGTGATTTGAGGAGTATGCCGACCCCGGATCCGTGTTTATCAGACGAACCGTCAACGTACAGGACCCAACTTTCTATTACCGGTTGATCGTCTAGGAGTTCCGGTGAGAGTTCGGTGATGAAGTCGGCGAGCACTTTTGATTTTAAGCTAGAGCGAGTTCAATAGCCCACTTCGCCATCCGTCCCGACTGGACATGGCTATGAAGGATGGTCCTCTGAGGCTGATCGGTATAAACTACGATGGCCTGAGATTGGAAATACGGTCGCAGTTTTCGGGCGGCAGTCACGACGGCCAGAGCAAGTTTT